GTCAGTGGAGTTGCAGGGGTGGGGAGCCCTTTAGGAGGAATCAGCTTGGCCTGGATGCCCTCCTCATGCAAGTGATCAGACAGTAGCTCTAGCACCGTGGCGAGGCAATACTGAAAGAGCAGGTCCGCCAGGGGGGCTCCTGGCACGGTCCCCAAAGTGGTGGCCTGGACCTGCCGGTCGGACAACTGGGTAGTGAACCAGGTCCCATCCATGCTAGCTGCCAGGAGGGCCTGTATAGCCCCGGGGACCTCAGCAGCCTCAAGAGCACCAACTCTGCCTGTGCTGTCCAAGAACCTCTGCCTGACCTTAGGTTCGAGCTTCATAGCAGCGACCGCGCTTCGTACCTGATGGACGTCCCGGCTGAACAATAGGTCCCGGCGTGTGCTGTAGAAAGCACTCACACCATCCACAAAGACAACCGATCCCGAAGCGTTTTGTTCACGCAAAGCTTGAAGGTGAAGCTGCACGCTAACAGCCGGCACGTCCGTAGACACACCTGGAAGTGCTCCACCCACGGCCGGTCCTGCAATCTGACGAAAACACCCAATTAAAGCCGGGCGCATAGCTTTCGCGACAGCCTTTGCACTGGGTTCCTGAAGGGCTATCGAACGATATCCACTGAGTGAATTGGGCGATTTCCCTGGCTTGTGCAAGGCAACAGCCAGTAGCCCCTTCCATAGCAACGGGTATCGCCGCCTCGCGAGGCTCTTCATTATCATAGGCATGTGCACGAAAGCAGCAAATGCAGGCGAAGCTTTGTAGAACTCTGGCGGCACGCGACTGATACCGCTTGCCCTACGGCTCTGTAGCCCGGCAAATGCCGAAGCGAGCTGGGCAAGGGTCGGCATCCCGTCAATTTCCTGCCCTTCTTGGCCCTCATGTTGAGTCCGAGCCTGATGCAGATCCCGGAGCATGCAAGGACTCGCTGCTTCGATCGATGCGAAGTGCTCGGCAAACGACCGCTGAATCTGACACGGGTCAGTGATGGGGCCTGTCGGGCTGTCGATGACCTGAGCCATGCGTGGCGGCTTGTATTTTCGTCCGGTCTTCAAAACCGAACGCAGCAGCTGCGCGAGCTTCGCAGGCCCTGCCTGCCTCGCCTGTGCGAAGGTCTCGCGGGTGAAGGCGGCCTCATCTCGCCGGAAGACGGCTCGAATGGACTTGGACAGCTGGTGCATTTCTGAGATGTATCTGGC